TTCCTAAGTCAACATGATGAAGAGTTGGGTCTACTTTTTCTTCTAATAGGTACAGGATCTCTGGTCTAATACCTAGTTCCTTTATCCACCAGAGTTTTGTGTAGGATGAGAGATAAGGGTTCAATTTCATTCTGCTACAGAAGATGCTATCTTTTCTCCAATGTATGTTAATGACGCCTTTGTCTAATATGACTGTATTTATGTGTGTTTATATCTGTGTCTTCTATTCTGTACCATTGGTCTTCATGTCTGTTTCAGTGCCAATACCATGCCATTTTTGTTACTATAGCTCTGTAATATAATTTAAGGTCATATTGTGATGCCTCCAGCTTCACTTTTCTCACTGAGGATTGCTTTGGCTATTCTAGGCCTCTTATTTTCCAAATAAATTTCATGACTGCTCTTTCTATTTCTATGAAGAAGGTCATTGGAATTTTAATAGATTAATAGAATAAAATTAATTAATTTTAATAGATTAATTAAATCTCTATAGACTTTAGGTAGTATGGGCATTTTTTAAAATTGTAGTTGAACACAATATCTTTATTTAATTAATTTATTTATTTTTACGTGGTGCTGAGGATTGAACCCAGGGCCTCGCATGTGTGAGGCAAACACTCTACCACTGAGCCACAACCCCAGCCCCATGGTAGTATGGGCATTTTGACAATATTAATTCTGCCTATCCAAGAACATGGGAGGTCTTTCTGTCTTCTAAGGTCTTCTTCAATTTCTTTGTTTAATGTTCTGTAGTTTTCATTGAAGAATTCTTTCACTTCTTTTGTTAGATTGATTCCCAAATATTTTTTTTCAGGCTATTGTGAATGGGATAGTGTTCCTAATTTCTCACTCAGTTGATTAATCGCTAATATATTCTGCTACTTTGGTCAATTTATTTATTCATTCTAGAAGTTTTCCAGTGGAATTTTTTGGGTCTTCTAAATATAGAATTATGTCTTTGGCAAATAGGGATAGTTGAGTTCTTCTTTTCCTATTCTTATCACTTTAATTTTTTTCTTCTGTATAATTACTCTGACTAGAGTTTTCAGGACTATGTTAAGTAGAAGTGATGAAAGTGGGTATCCCTGTCTTGTTCCAATTTTTAGAGGTAATGTTCTCATTTTTTCTCCATTTAGAATGATGTCGGCTTTGGGATTAGCATAGATAGCTTGTACAATGTTGAGGTATGTTCCTACTAGCCCTAGCTTTTCTAGTGTTTTGAACATGAATAGATGCTGTATTTTGTCAAATGGTTTTTCTGCATCTTTTGAGAGAATCATGTGATTCTTGTCTTTAAGTCTGTTGATGTGATGAATTACATTTATTGATTTCCATATGTTGAACCAACCTTGTGTCCCTGTCATATTAAATTTCTTTACTACCTTTTCTTTTTTTTAATACTTTTTAAATGTTGATGGACCTTGTATTTTATCTATTTGTTCATTTCATCTATTTGTATGTGGTGCTGAGTATCGAACCCAGTGCCTCACACATGCTAGGCAAGTGCTCTTCCACTGAGCTACAATCCCAGCCCCTCTTTAGTACCTTTTCTAGCAATTCTCTTGTGACCTTTAAAGCATCTAA